GGAAGGGGAGAACTCTGTGTCCCCTTCCCAGGTCGTGGTTCAAGTGGTCAGTGGTTCCTCAGGGATGGGCAGAGGGTTTCCATTCCTCACTGGCTTCTGCCATTTGCAGTGGTGTAATGGAAGAGTAATGCTGCAAAGCGAAACTTCAGTGAGAAGCTCTTCACAGTCCCCTCCTGGTGTTTTTCTTTCACAAGAAGGGTTGACACAGTCACAGAAAGCACTCTCTAATTGGGAGAGTTGGTTTGAAGGAAACCATCTGTTCGGAAATGTTTAAGAGAAGGTGTTCTTGGTAGTTTTTCTACACTGATCCTAAAATACTTGCCCAGGCATTTTTAAAGTATCATTAAAATATTTTAAAATTATCATATTAAAGTACTTTAAAGTAACTCTGGGTAGTTGGTGTGTTTTAACGATTCATATTAAACTTTAGTAATTATTCTAAAGTTAAATGACATTTATTGTTGTGTTCCTGAAAGATTTTTAAATCCTATACAATTGTTCAGTAAGAACAAATACTGTTTGTTGATATCCAGAAGATGACTTTTATTTCTCTACAGTTGTCAATCTAATAAACTGCTGTCTTTGTACAGGTAACCTTGTATCACTTGCTGAAGCTTTTTCAGTCCGATACCAATGCCATTCTGGGAAAGAAAACTGTAGTTTCTGAATTCTATGATGAAATGGTATGGAAGTTTTCAACATAATCCTCACTTTGTTTTGAAGAGCGTTAGTGATACCATGTATTTCTCTCCTTCATTAGATATTTCAAGATCCTACTGCAATGATGCAGCAGCTGTTAACAACGTCTCGTCAACTAACGTTAGGTGCTTATAAGCATGAAACAGAGTGTAAGTTGAAAATGAAAATACTTTAATCTTAGAAATGAACAATGGTTGGTTTTGCTTTTAGTATTTTTTTTTCTGGGCTGTAACAGTACAGTGGTCTTGGATGCTGCTAAAAAATGGTGGTTTTGCATTAAATTATCTTTGACTTTTGCAAAGATATTAATGCTTATTTAAAAACTTCTAAGATTTCCTGGTCTGTGTACCTGCTGGAAGAACACAACTTAGGGATTACTCACTATGAAGATGTTGACATGATCTACATCCAGTTTAACATCTTTGAAATGAGTAAAACCAGATAATAAATCAAGGTCACTGTGCATGGTACAGTCGTATTTAGCTCATCTAGATATTAACTGCATGCAAAGATCACACTTTAAGCACTGAAATACAGAACATTTGGTACTGTTTGAGTCAAAGCAGCAACCCTTTGGGGATACAGTAGTGTCTTGAAAGCTCTACCTTTTTCCCTTCTAATTCTTTAAGTGTAGGTAATTTCATAACATGCTTCTTAAGTATAGCTTAATGTTCTTTGAGTCCTTTAATCTGTCTTTAAAACTAAATCAGAATACTAAGGGAATTGAAGAAAGGAAATTAAAATACAGTAATTCATAAACTAGGATGTACTTAGTGAAGATTTCTGTTCTGAATATTTGGATTTCATCTCTTTAGTACTCAGAAAGCAAATGTAATACTTATTGAGCCCAAACCCTACCTTGTTATTACAAATTCTAATGCCAGCATAGGCCAGCTCACCAGGCCTTTGGCTCATCTGCATGTTCCCCTGACAGCACATGTTACTGGGTGGTTTTGGGCAGTCAGTGTCTGGAGCCAAGAACAGCCATCATTTTGGAGCTCTACAAAGTTTGGGTTCCCATCTGCCTTATGTCTGTTTGGGTGTGTGGACTTGTGAGCTACTTGTGTTTTCTACATCTGTTTAGCCTGTCTTGAGGTGGATTTTCCTTATGTTGCATGTTGTTACGGTTTATGTGTAGAAGATCTTTAATAAGAAAGTATTCTCCAAATTTAAACTTTTCTCACTAAAATTTCTGGATGTTTCTCCTGAGAGCAGATAGAAATTTTACTGGTTTTTTTTTTTTTGTGGTATATATTCCCTTAAAATGTGCTACTGAAGCAGGTAAAAATTAAGTTGTTTGGGTTTTTTTGCCGTGATCCAGGATTATGTAATGTCTGGAATAGGAAGGGATATCCATGGCCTCCCTGGTATATTGGCTTTGCCAGCTTTGTCCAAAAACTTGTGCATGAGCAAATTAAAAATAGCAAAGCAGATCGAGACGTTCTAATGTCAGATATTCATAACAGCAGTGGCAGCACAACTAAGTCTTTTACTCCAGTAAGGCAGAGAGAGAAAGTGGTTACAGTACATGGAAAAGGAGTCACAGGATGGCTGGAGAAGGGACCTCTGGAGGTCATCTGCTCCCTCCACCCTGCCCAAGCAGGGCCACCTACAGCAGGTTGCCCAGGACTGTGTCCACATGGCTCTTAAATATCTCCATGGATGGAGACTCCACAACCTACCTAAAGCAGCCTATATCAATGCTTGGTCAAAAAAGAGTTTCCTGGTGTTCAGATGGAGCCTCCTGTGTTTCAGTTTGTGTCCATGGCCTCGTGTCCTGGCACTGGGCACCACATACAAATTATTTGTAACTCTCTGTAATCTCCCATTTATTTGCTGTTACCATGTCAGGGTTTTTGGTATTTTTCCCATTTAATCTTTAAAAAGCTCTAGAAAATGATTTATGATTTAGTGAATTATATAACTCCATCCACACAACTGATTGGCTGAATGAGGCCCAGCAATATAATTTATTTATAAAATACATTAAAATACATTTTTTCCAGAACACCCCATCCAAATTGTATCTGTTGCAAATTTAAAAAAACATGATCACAACTTTTCATGGTACTCACAGTGTTCATTTTTCTTTGTTGCCACCACAGTTGCAGATCTTGAAGTGAAAACCAGGGAAAAGCTGGAAGCTGCCAAAAAGAAAACTAGTTTTGAAATTGCTGACCTTAAAGAGAGACTAAAAGCAAGTCGTGAAACCATCAACTGTTTAAAGAGTGAGATCAGAAAACTTGAAGAAGATGATCAGTCTAAGGATATGTGACAAGCATTGACTTGATACAAGAGCCTATACTGAAAGTGGAAGGACTTCTTCAATCATGACATTGTATGCGTTCTCTTCAGTTCTGTAAATGAGACTATGCAGATGTCACTTGCAGGTGATTGAAGTGTGTGACTTGACTTCATACATGGAAGAAGAGGAAGGTATCCTTGGTTTGTAGGTAAAATCTGTGGATACTCAACAGCTTATTTCTGGTAGAAGGTGTCTTGGAGACCAGGCTACTTGTTTGGTTTTGTTTGTTTTTAAACTGCATTTGAGTGGTATATGAAAACTTAGTCTCGTATTAGTTCAATGTGATTTCACAAAATGCAGGTGTTTACTTTTTTACTTGGTTTTGTATTGATGGTTTAGAGATGCATCTTTAATGCTAAAATAAAATATGTGGTTTTTTAGTATTTTTTTGTCTCTGTGCAGTTGTGGGCTTCAAGAACAGCTGTAAACATGCTCTGATTTAAGGCAGCTGTTGAAATAATAATGGTATGCAAGTTGCTTAAGTCTGGTTACAGTGATTTGTGCATGTTTGTCTGGTATCAGCACACTGAAGACAGCACTTTAAATAACAACTTATATCTGCAGTAAGAGTTTCTAGCCCGACACCTGCGTTAGCACATACAAATGCAGCAGTTACGCAAGTTGTGATCAGAAGCAGGAAATTGTTCCGATCCTGTTTTGTAGAACGTTGGTTAATATTTGCACTGTACTGCCACCAGTGCATCACACGTTGTCTCTGCCACTCCTTCCTCCTCACACTCTTCTGCTCCAGCCTGGAGTCCTTCCCTTGGGCCTCCCACAAACTTCTCCAGTGTGAGTCCTTGAACAGGCTGCAGTTCTTCACACGCTGCTCTAGCGTGGGTCCCTTCCATGGGGTGCAGCCCTTCAGGAACAGGTTGCTCCAGTGTGGACTCCTCTCCCCACACGGCCACACGTCCTGCCAGGGCCCTGCTCCAGCGCAGGCTTCCCACAGGGTCACAGCCTCCTTTGGGTACCCCCCTGCTCTGGTGTGGGGTCCTCCCTGGGCTGCAAGTGGAGGACCTCCATGGGCTACAGGGGGCACAGCTGCCTCACCGTGGGCTGCACCACAGTCTTCAGGGGAATCTCTGCTGTGGCACCTGGAGCACCTCCTGCCCTCCTGCACTGACCTGCCTGTCTGCAGAGCTGTTGCTCTCACGTATTTATTTTGCCTGTAACATATCCATGTTTGGGGTTTTTTTCCTTTTGTACAGGTAAAATAGCTGAACAGGGATGGTGCTACCTCAGGGTTGGAAAAGGCTTGGGCACCTTTTGTACAGCTTCAAGATGCCGTGTTGCAGTTAACTCTGCATTAGAGTCAAACATCCCACATTCACTTTCCCGTAGAAAACAAATATTGTCAATGCTTTGAAAACAAAGTACACATTTCTTCATATTTGAAACAATTGTTGATTGGCTTTTACCATGGCTTGGTAAAAATTTAGAACTGAAACAGTTTAAACACTCAATATGTAGACTTCAGTTTTTCGTTAAGAAAACAGCTGTTAAAACTTGGCATATTTAGCTATTAGATATTATGTATGCACATAGACTGGGGAGCAGCTTGTGCCAGTGTGTCCACTCAGAGCCTTCTGGAAATCCCAGATTTTCCGGCTACCTAACTGGTTTGGTTTATTGATTCAGGAGCCAATTTCCTTTCAAGCAGCAGCTGAAGGAGAATGTTAGGCAATTTCAGTACAGTAGAATGTGCCATTGTCAGAGCTGGGCTCTGAAAATAAGACTCGTGTGGGCCATGGTGTATTATACATTCTCCATGTGTAATGTCATGCATTTCACATTTTTTTAGTGAAAAGTAAAATCATCCATACCATTTTCTTTGATGATACCTTATTATCCAAAGGGTTTATTTGGCTGCTTTATTATCTTTGACAATCATCAGTGGCAGATATTTAAGGAACAAAATAGTAGGATTAGTGTGAAGTGAGTTCAGGTGTCTTCTTTTAGCTTCTTGAAGATTTATTCCATTTTCTGAGGTTTATTTGGCTGCTTTATTATCTTTGACAATCATCAGTGGCAGATATTTAAGGAACAAAATAGTAGGGTTAGTGTGAAGTGAGTTCGGGTGTCTTCTTTTAGCTTCTTGCAGATTTATTCCATTTTCTGAGATTTTTAAGGTCCATTTGTGTGTGGTGAAACCAAAACAGGAATGGAAAGCACAGGTTTCATGGTACTAAGTTATATGCAACACTATTATCTTTGTATTTGACAGTTAGAATAATACTAATGTTGAGTAAATCAGATGGAATATTAAAGAGGTTTGCAAGAGCTGTGACTAACAAAAAGAGGTCTGCTGCAACAGGCTTGAATGGACCAGAAGAGAACAGTGATACCTTTTGAATCCAACATTTTCATAACAGCTTAAAGTATTCTTTTTGTTTACATATTTTAAATATCCCATAAATAGCCTAGTATTCAACGTCACAGAAGCAATGATCCTGGACCCACTGTTAGTAGCTGTTGACATGCTAGGCCAGTGACATAATTTTTACCTGTGGTTAGCAGGGGGTTTTCTCCTTCAACTTCTTGTATTTCTTTTTCCTCCCCTTTATGCTCTCTGTAAAGATCATACAAGAGTCATTAGTTCTCCCCATCAATAGTAAGGCAAAAAAATATTACTAACATCTGTTTGTGCTGAGCAGTTATTGTTGATAGAAAGCAGGAAGAATATCTTCTGCTTTATAAAGTTCCTTCTTCTGTGTTTTCATTAGAAAGCACTTTTTCAGATGGTGAGAAAGCCACTGAGCCCTGCACTAGGCAGTAATTAAATCCTGGGAAAAGTTAATGAGAATTAAGAGGTTTAGAATATCAGCTTAAGAATAACTGGAAAAAAACCACCTGCCTGCATTTCACAAGTAAAGCTATAGCTAGCTACCTTCTCTCCATGCAAGTGCCTGGTTCTCAGTTAATAGATAGGTCCAAACGTAACCTATGTGCTCTGCTATTACAAGAGATGCTGATGCAAGCACCTGAGATAGTATATGTACACAGTAAATGTACAATATAGAGCTGACCTTCTAGTGCATATCATTTTCGAAGTTCCTAGAACTGAAATAGTGGGGCACCAAACACACAGTTGTATTTGACCTCCATTGCCCTGCAGAAAAACCCAACTGCTGCATTCTACTTTCGGCAGCCATTCAAAGAAGCGATTCCAGGCAGTTACAGTTCATGCTTGCCAGGGGTGCTCACTTACACGCTAGCTATTTATACTGCTCAGACTGACTTTAGACTGTGGTTTCATCCAGAGTTACAACGGTAAAACACAGATGTATTTCAATCTGGTTTGCAAAGGAAAGGAAAAAAAACCCCAGCCCTCACTGTGCTATAGGTACAGTTTGATCATCACTGAATTGCACAGTAATTTTTCCAGTTGCCCACACTGGAGCTTTAGACCCCACTTGAAACAACCCTTTCATAGGTAAAGATAAAACATGGTTTATCTCAGTTTCTGTGCTTAATGTGATCAATGCTGCCAATGAAGAATGTTTCCTTCAAGCATCAAACATACAAAAGTGGTAGTGTCATTGCCACTTCCACTAAACAGCCTTGGGGGTTTTAAGTATTTTGCTCAGACATGTTAATTGTCATCACAGTAATTTCAGACCCTGCCTGCTTACTCATTTACTGCTCAGTGTTATTTATTGCTAGTCCTTTTTTTATGTAGCTCTACCTCATACAACTTTTTTCCTTTGCCTTTGGGCTTGGCACGCTGTACCTTGCAGACTGTGAAGCTGTGTAAGGGAGGTTTCTCATCAAAAGTGTCATTACTGACAGGAGATGTGTAAATACACTGAATTCAAAGATTTACTTGAGAATTTTTGTGGTTATCAGAGGTGGGATTGGAAGGAACATTAAGTAATCCTGTTCCTTTTCTTTCTAGACAGATTCTGGTAATAACACCAACCTAAGGACACTTTTGCTGCTTATGCTTTTAATCCATATTAAATACATCAATGTTTGTTTGCTTCTTAATGGGAATACAGATTTAAGAGCAATTCAGGTTGTTTTCAGACATGAGGTGGTTTTCCAAACGCCAGGTGGCAGGGATGTCCAAAGTATTCTCCAGTCTCAACAGCATTTTAGCTACTGAGATTTTGGAAGATTGGTGATATCTTTGGTGCCCTCATTTGCTTTGAGACTTGATCATCTGATTAGACAAGGTGTATTTGTAGTTTGTCCAGCAGCCTGTGAGCGAATCAAATGTGCTGTGCCAGGAAGCAAAAGAAGTGTGAATGTTTGCAATTTTTATTCACTTGGGCAAGGGAAGCAGCTTTCAAAATATGAATCTATGGGGCTGGTTTCAGGTTGGTTTTTTTTGCTCTTTCAGGCTGAGATTGCATGACAATATGAACAAACAAAACGTAAGTTAGGGACTGGACTGTATACTTTGCTTGCACTCAACTGCAGGTGCAAAATGGCAGGATTTTCCGTAAGTAAAAGTAATTCTTTTTTTAAGCTTCATGTTGATAGAGTTCATAAGCTTCTTTGCTTAATGAACACTATGAATGAACCTTTGGCTTCCAAACATGGTGAAATGTTTAATTTTCCCAAATACAGTAGGGAAGAACATCTCAGCTTAAGTAAGGAAAGAAGAGAGTTTGGGTTAATTTTTAACATTCATTTACAATACATTTATACTATTTCCATTTTAAAATGTTTTAAGCTGGAACCTGAAATCATTTCAGTTTCTAGTGAAAGGCTGGCCTGTGCAAATAGCCAACACACATCTGAAATTAAGATTTACATTTCAAATTTCTTGGGAAAAACCTCTCCAATGCCTAGTGATTAGGCCATAAAAAGAACTCATTAGCATTGGAAAATGCAGTATTTGTCCTACTCCCTCCTTTGTAATTACTACACTTTTGAAGGTGTTCATGTGTTAAACGAGTGGCTGGCACTTATTCCCACAGAGAGAAACAAATTCCATCTGATCTACTGGCTTCTGCTTTGCCAATACTTCCCCCCGAAGGGATCGATAGTTTTTTTTCCCCAATGCCTAATTCTGCAATGTCTGGCAAATCTCACATTTTTCCTACTCTAAAATTCAGTCTTATTTCAAATAACGTATTTTATTTAACCTCTGATCTATGATGTTATTCAAATGCATGGGTTTCATATAAACACACTTCTAAAGCTTTTCAGTGAAACATTCTTGTATCTTTATTCATAGAAGCAGTAAACGAAGACATATGGCTAAAAAGGTCTTCACCTGCTGAATTGATCAGACAAAACAGCACTTCAGTTTAATGACTCTGAACAAAAGATCTGAAATCACTTCACAGTGAAATCATATTTTCTAAGCTTGCATCTTTAAGCACTAGCATGATGGATAAATATAGGTATTAAGAGGTGGAAAAATCAACAAGGTTTATGCCTCTATGCATGTAATCTTGTTACAGGGTGAGTTTTTGGAGTACGGATAGTGCTGCAGCTGTTCCATGGCCTGAGTCTTATGAATGTAGCAGGGCTAGCATGTGGCTCCCTCTTCCTGTCTATATTTATTAAAGCAAGAATTAATCCAAGTCATTTTTTTCACTGTCCTGATTCAAGTGATAACTATGTCCCACTTAAAGCTCCACTCGGGTCCTAAGCCACCTGAACTCTGAGTAGGTAATATGGAGAATCTTGAAAACTTAGGTTTGAGGGGCTTGTGTTAACTTCTGGAGTTATTCCTTGTTTCTGTATGTAAGTCTATGTAGTAGTTAAAGCATTCACTCCATAAGCTAAATAATCCTGAGGAAGACTGAACCTGTATCTCATGGTTTTAGATGTTCTTAACCATGAGATCATAAAAGTACTCTCTACTGCTGCTGTTCACAGTGAGCTGCAGACAGTCAGCTCTGCAAGACTTATTAATTAGGGTATTGGAGAATACAAATTCAGTGCTTTTCTTCAACCTGAATAAAGCCACCATCTCAGAAAAGGGTTAGATCCTTAGTAAATGAACATATCTAAATTAGATGGAGTTAATTTCCTATTACCTTCAGAAGCCATGCACCTTTTAAGTAGAACAAATCTATATACTGGACAAATTTGAACTGATTTTTTTCCTTCCTGCTCCAGGTTAAGCACATTTGCATGGTGAGGCAAGAAACAGCATAGGCACTTAGACTGGACTCCACTGCTCTCCTAACAGTGTGTTTGGAAATGATTAAAGCATCTGCTGCTTTGCACAGCTTTGTGGTTGCTCTGAGTCTTCCTTTTTTAGCCCTTAGCAACAACACCCAGGAACTGCAGTGTTCCATGAACATGGGCACTGCCCTGGATCATGACAGAATGTCGTGGGCAAGGGTAAAACAGATTTAGTATCCACCCAACTGTGAGGCCTGCAAGCCAGCATATGGTGACTCTTCTTGGCTAGTAGTTGTACTCTTTGAGCATCTCTTTATTGACCAGTCTCCTAGGTTCCTGTTCCCTGCTAGGTTCATTCTACAGGATTTAACAGCCATGAGACTGCAATTTCAAACAGTTCATGCAGTTTAGCTGAATTTAGAATAGAATCATAGATTAGTTTGGGTGGGAAAGGGCCTTAAGATCATCCAGTACCAATCCCCATGCAATGGGCAGGGACATCGCACACTAAACCATGTCACCCAAGGCTCTGTCCAACCTGGCCTTGAACACTGCCAGGGGTGGAGCATTTCCAGCTTCCCTGCGCAACCCATCCCAGTGCCTCACCACCCTAAGTTTTAACCCATTACCCTTTGTCCTGTCACTACAGTCCCTAATGAAGAGTCCCTCCCCAGCATCCCTATAGGCCCCCTTCAGATACTGGAAGGCTGCTATGAGGTCTCCATGCAGCCTTCTCTTCTCCAGGCTGAACAGCTCCAACTTTCTCAGCCTATCTTCATACGGGAGGTGCTCCAGGCCCCTGATCATCCTCATGGCCCTCCTCTGGACTTGTTCCAACAGTTCCATGTCCTTTTTATGTTGAGGACACCAGAACTGCACACAATACTCCAGGTGAGGTCTCACAAGAGCAGAGTAGAGGGGCAGGATCACCTCCTGAGATCTGCTGGTCACGCTCCTTTTGATGCAGCCTGGGATATATTTGGCTTTCTGGGCTGTGAGCGCACACTGAAGCCGGCTCATGTTCATTTTCTCATCAATCAGCACCCCCAGGTCCTTCTCCGCAGGGCTGCTCTGAATCTCTTCTCTGCCCAACCTGTAGCTGTGCCTGGGATTGCTCCGACCCAGGTGTAGGACCTTGCACTTGGCATGGTTAAACTTCATGAGGTTGGCATCAGCCCACCTCACAAGTGTGTCAAGGTCCTTCTGGATGCCATTACTTCCCTCCAGCGTATCAACTGAACCACACAGCTTGGTGTCATTGGCAAACTTGCTGAGGGCGCACTCAATCCCACTGTCCATGTCAGCGGCAAAGATGGTGAACAAGACCGGTCCCAACACTGATCCCTGAGGGACACCACTCGTTACTGGTCTCCAGCTGGACATTGAGCCATTGACCACAACTCTTTGCGTGCAGCCATGCAGCCAGTTCTTTATCCACCGAGTGGTCCATCCATCAAATTGATGTCTCTCCAATTTAGAGAC